TGGATCACAGTGTCCAAAATCTTGGAAATTTCAGGCCGCACCATGCACTGCCCCCAGGACATCCCGCAAGTGCCTGGCACTAGCAAGCCCACATGGGTGCGCATCGCGGACCCCAACAACCCACACACTAGCCTTTCCAAGTCAAGCCAACAATGCCTTACTTGGCTGGCGTCGTGCTTTCGTTCGGCACTCGCCTATTCAGCCTTTGGCGCGGCCACACCAGCTGCAAGCTCTGGCTGCCGCGGATGCGTGTGCCGAAGATGATTTGGTAGGGATCGGGGGCTGGGCAATCACATTCCCAAGTAGGTTGGTTCGCCAAGACCTGGAACATGCAAGACATAAGAGCCGTGTGGCCTTGCCTTGTCAAGCCTGGACAGCGGTACATCGCATGCTTCGAAACTCTGGCACAGTTAGCACTGCTGCAAGCAACCCACAGCCACATTGGTGGTGGGCACTACTCGTTTAGCATGCCTTCAGGCACAGACAATTCCGCCACGGAAGCAAGCCTTAACAAGCTGTTCACGACCTCCTGGCCGTTGCAACTCTTCGTGCAATTAACAGCCTTCTGGGCTCACGCTCACAATGTGCTGCTGCAGCCGACGCACGTTCCAGGAAGGTGCAATGATTGGGCTGACGATCTCAGCAGAGGTCGGTTGGCCCGATTCAGCCATCGCCCTGAAAGTCGTATACGCTTCAGCCCTGCAAGCCTAGCGATGTCAGGCCGAGGCATTCAACTGTGTCCGATGCATGCGCCCTGGCGCCCGGAGCATTTGGCAGCAGCCTCCGTCACCGCTGCACCAGCCTAATTTGCATCCCGACATGCCTCGCGACCAAATGACCGCCGTCGCCTTGTCAGCCAGAACAACTGGCGACGTCAGCCAGCCGCTTACTCAACCCGCTCTGACCGAAAAAAGTGCAGTCGCTGCATAACAGGCTGCTCGCAGCCCAGCGTGCATGGTCACGCTGGCATCTGCCCTGCCAGGTACAACCCCACTCTGAAGGGCGGGTGATGAGGCCTGCGGCCCAGCGGGTTCGCTTTTACCGGGGTTGCCTGAAACACTGAAGGGGGGGTCAATGTGCCTCCTGTTCCAGGCGCACCAGTGCCCTGGAAGCAGTGCAACTTTCAGCAATCCCGGTAAAAAGAACTGCGGCCGCCTCGGACGAGCTTTGTTCTTTTGGGGGTTCATGTTTGGGTTCAAGCTAGGAGCAGTGCAACATGCCTTAACGCTTAGGGTTTCTTTTCCCTTGTGTTTAGGGCATGTTGTGAATCGAACTACGCGTTGGCCGTTTTGCTCCTAGCCTTGACCCAAACCTGCGGTTTCATTTCTTGAAACCCACCCACCCACCCTGCGCTGCCCTATGCCAGGCTTTGCAAGGATAGGTCGCAGACTCTCTGCACTTTCATGGGTGGCCTCCGGGCCTTTTGGTCTCCGGACCAGGTCTCCGGACCAACTTCGGTCTCCGGACCTCGAGTCTCCGGACTTTCGGTCTCCGGACCATGTGCCTCCTGTTCCAGGCGCACCAGTGCCCTGGAAGCAGTGCAACTTTCAGCAATCCCGGTAAAAAGAACTGCGGCCGCTTCGGACGAGCTTTGTTCTTTTGAGGTTCCATGTTTGGGTTCAAGCTAGGAGCAGTGCAACATGCCTTACCTCAGCTGTCTCTGCAGCACCTGCGGCCGGGCATTAATGAACCAAGCTTGCCCATTAATGAACCAACCTTGCCCATTAATAAATCAGCCCGTTCCATTATTGACTCAAACTTGCCAAGAACCAAGTCCTCTCGGGAACTTGGCTTTTGCGCACTTTTCGGCCCAAAAGAGAGCGGTGACAAAGCGGTGACAAACGGTGACAAGCTCGGCGGGATGGAATTCGCCTGTTTTCCGGGCTGAAACTGAGCAAGCTGAGCGTCTGGAGCCTGCTTTCGACCGAAAACGAGCGAAACTTGAGGCTCAGGCATCCCACTTCCCGTCTGACACGAAAAACGGACTCTTCGGAGTTGGCCGTTTTGAGCGCTTTTTGCACCAAAAACGGAGCCGGACGGAGCGGTGACATCAGTGGTGACAAGCTCGGCGGGCTGACGTGCCGCAGGCCGCAACCTCGGCGGGCTGCCGCGCTCCGAGCCAGGTCCTCGGCGGGCTGTCGGGCCGCGGAAAACCCTGCGACTCCGGAGCTCGGGAACTGGGCCGCTTTTGCGCACTTTTTCGACCCAAAAGCGAGCGGTGACAAAGCGGAGGCGAACGGTGACAAGCTCAGCGGGCTGGAATTTGCCTGCTTTTCCGGGCAGAAAACGGAATCCAGAGCACGGCGGACGTCTGGAGCCCGATTTCGACCGAAAACGAGCGAATTTGGAGGCCCAGGCAGCACGTTTGACGTCTGACACGAAAAAACGAACTTTTCGGAGTTGGCCGTTTTGAGCGCTTTTTGCACCAAAAACGGAGCGGTGACGAAGCGGTGACATCGCTGGTGACAACGCGGCTCGGCAGGCTGGGCGTGGCGCGGCTCGGCAAGCTGGCGGGTAAGAGAGCGGACGTGGCGCGGCTCGGTAGGCTGGCGTTGAGGCTTCGGTGCCAGGTGATTGTTGAGTCAATACTGAGTCATCTTGAATCGACGGAAAGTCAACAATGGATCAATATTGACAAGGGCAAGCTCTCTCACTCCCAAAACGGGTTTTGTTGCACCTGGGAGGGTTCTGACACTCGTCTGTCCAGGCAACGACCTCGTCCTGCGAAGGATTCGAAATCTAAAATGCTGCGTGCAGGCTTGTGGCTGCAACATAACAACTCCTAGATATGCGCTGCAATTTGCCTCCAAGTTGCATTTCAGCAAGGTCGAGGTTTGCCAAAGGAAACCCCTTTTCTTTTCCTTTTTTCGGTCCCCCTTTTTTGGTTTTTTTTTTCATTTTTTCCTTCTCGGCTTGCTGAAATGCAAACTGCAAGCATATCTGGGGGTCGTTATGTTGCAGCCACAAGCCTGCGCGCAGCATTTTAGATTTCGAATCCTTCGCAGGACGGGGTCGTTTCCTGGACGGGCGAGTGTCAGAACCCCCCCAGGTGCAATAAAGAACCGTTTCGGGAATAGCCTCTAAAGAGAGAGATCGGAGGCTCAGGGTAACTAGTATTTCCACTACCACTACCACTATCACTACCACTACCGCTACTACGGCTACTACTATTACTACCGCTCTGCTACTACTACTCTGCTACTACTACTACTACTACTACTACTACTACTACTTCTCCTCTGTTTTTTTCTTGATCCTGATTTTCTTTTTTATTGACCCCTCAGGTGACTGTGACTTTCCTCGTCTCTTTGCTTTCCACTTTTGTTTTACGCCGCATGGAGCAAAGACAAGGCTTAGAGCAGAACAACGTAGCAAAGAACCGCGTTTGGGGTGTGGTTAAGTGGGCGAGTTGTGGGTGCAGCATTGTGCAAGGAGGCCAAGAAGTAGGTGTTGCTTGGGAGCTGAAACGTAGCAGAACTGGACACCTCTCATCAGCCGTCAGCTCTGCCTTTTCAGACCAAGCACCTCTTTTAAAAAGAGCTTGGAACTTTTGTGTCGTGGTCTTGTCAGAGTGAATGATTGGCAGAACGATTGTTTGCATCGGCCTGACTTGTTTTGCCAGTGTGGCTCAGGGTCAAGCTTTCCAACTGGGAGCTCTTGTGTCGTGGTCTGGTGGGTCGGGAGCAGTGCATGCTCTACAGAACATTCTTGTCGGTGATCGTGACAAGCGTCGTCGCAGCGGCCAACATGTTGACGGTCGCCGTTGGCCCTTACCAGTTTTAGTAATGTGCGTCTCTCACCCTGCTGGAGCCACATGCGTCGCACTGTGTGGGTCATCCAACCTTCTCAGTGGAATCGCGCTTTTGCAGCACTGCATTGTGGATGAAAAAACAGACTGGGTTTTCTCCTTAGCAGTGACAGTATGCTGCCGAGTCCTGGTGTTTGCACTGTGCCTTACGCTTCTTGTGCGAGCCACCTTGTCTTAGAGTGGCTTTTCATCAGCTCGATGACTGCCGACTTTTTGCATGCGGTTTTAATTCAGTGCAGGTGGGCTTGGCTCCTTTTTTCTGTACAGAAGATTCCTTGCATTTTGGGAGACATGGGGCAACTTCTTTCTTTTTGGGAGAGTCTTTTGGTCGCCATCTTCTCCAGCTTTCACCCTGGCTTGCAAACTTTTCAGGTTTGTTGACATGTAGGAAAGCCGCACCGATGCTCTGCTAAGTCTCACACTACTTGTGCTAGCTGGCAGATCTTTAAAGGTGATCCTGCCTGTTTTTTACATGTGGTATTAAACTCATTGCATTGCTGGGCGATGCCCCCTTTTTGTACAGGTTGCTCACTGTGTTTTGGTTTTCGTTGTGTATAGCTGACTGGCAACTAAGCTTAAGGCAGCTCGGGGAAGAGGTTCATCAAAAACCTCCTTGGCCGCCCCTAGCTTGGTTGACTTTATTTCCCAGTCGTGCCACCTGAGCAGATGCGTGATGATCGACTTCCTCAGCGCAAGTCCGAGAGGACTTGTTCCCTGCCTTTAGATGTACAGTAATGCCCCTTGAGACTTCATTACGCGGCGGCAAATCATCATTTTCTTTCTCATACTTCCCGGTGCTAATCTTAGCTTCCTCATTCACCCACTTCCTGCGTATGCTTCTTGCTCAGCAGCAAGATTGCAACTTCTCTCAAGCTCCTCGATTGAAATCGAGCTGCCATAGTCTTCGCATTTGAAATCGTCGGATGTCTTCGTAAGCTGTTCGATCTGTTGGCAGCCTTTTCCATTTTCCGCTGTAGGTGCAAGTTCTCAACGACGTTTTGTCTGCTCGCCCGCTGTTGACGGTGACTTCAACCTGCCTGGCTCTTCACGCCCTTCATTCTCGCGCTTGCAAAAGTCAGCAGATGGCGGCCTTGATGATTTCTACTTGCTTGCTCTCTCATAGTTCATGCCCTCATGGTTCCAGGAAGCAATGGATCGATCTTGACTTTGCATTAAGCTTGCACACGCATTTGCATCAAGTACCGACTGTCAACTTGCCATGGCAAAGATTGCCAGAAGAGTGCTGGCTGTACCCGGCAGCGGCATCCGAGAGGCTCGTTTGTCGGAGTTCAGTTTGGTATGTTTTGAATCTTTCAAACCGCTTGGCGGTTTGCAATACTTGCCTTGCGAAACACCACATCAGTTTTCCAGGTCATGTCCAAGTCCACAGCGCTGCGGGATGCTGGCAAAGACGTTATCAATTGGCATATTGGCCCAGGGCTCAGTTGACGCGTCTGCCATGCGCCTCATTTTGACAGCAATTTCCTAGAGGGAATGGGGATAGCAAGACTGCTGCAACGGCTGCTGCTGCTGCCGTTGCTGCCAGGTCGTCCTGACTTTGATACCCCTCAGCACATCAAGGCGCGGATGTTTGGCGGATTGTGGTGAGAGTCAGTGCCAGCAACCAACAATCATGTAGATAAATGGCAGAGAGTGGAATATCTGTGAATGAGGTACAGAGAGCAACCCTACAGTCAGTTTTCATTTGCAAGCAAAAGAATGAGAGATAGCCCACAACAGTGTTGCTTGGGGTTGGAATATCACCATGCACAGCTAGTCTTGGGCCCATGGGAATCTTCCCGAAATTCGCCCTCTCAAAGCGAGGAGGCCTGCAGCGCGGCGCTGCGCGCGGGCCACGTGCACTACGCCCCCGCCAGCGGCATCCCTCAGCTCCGCGAGGCCTTGGCCCAGCGCGCCGAGGAGGCGACGGAGGGTCGAAACGAGCCCTGGCTCAGGGAGAATTATCTCACGGTTGTTGAGAGCGATGCTGGCAGCGATGGCAGCGTTCGCCTCAAGATATTTTCATTTGCTTTGGGAGTGATTGGGGCATTTAGCTTTGCAGAAGCTGCTCAGGTGAAGTAGGTCCAGTGGTCAAAGGAGTGTGATCTTCAGACTCCGCAAGCGCAGGAGTATTCTGGATATGTGGACCCGGAGCGCGTAGTGGTGTGCAATGGTGGCATGGAGGCGGCGCCCCGGCCCAGTTCACAGGGCCGATTTTTGGCGACCTGTCGGAGGTAGGGGAGGCCAGCTGATCAGTTCTGTGCATTTTGAGCCTTGAGCCAATCTGAGATCTACTTGCCATGCGCGGGGATGATCTGGAGCTTGGTATGTTGCCCATAGAACCCAAGCGAAGGTCGACATTGTGCCTGCACAGCTGCAAAGTACTGTGGGGACGTGTATTTGTATCGACAAAATGGACCCCCTCCGAAGGCAGAGAGCGCGATACAGTCAGAAAGTTTGGGTTCCTATGGATGGGGATGTGACCCAAGAAGTACTCCACATGATAGCAGTCCTACATTTCAGTGGATCTGCATGGCCTGCATGGCCCGCATGACCCTTAGGTCACGGTAATGCTCCAGTCCCTGCTGGAGCCGGGCGACGAGGTGATCATGCCAACGCCCAACTGGCCCAATATGAAGTGGGCCGTGGTCTTGGCAGGCGAGGCTTGGTTCGGCATCGTTTTGGAGTCTACAGGCGGCTTGCAACATGCGGCTACACAGCCTCCTTCGGTTTGATATTTGATACGTTTCCGATGTTTGGAGCTGGTAAGCCGACAGCATGTCAGGGGGCAGCCCAGTGGAAGTGCCGCTGGAAGAAGGCGTGCTCACGGCAGAGGTGGGCTGGTGGATGCAGAGTCCGGGTTCGTCTCAATGGCGTGGGGTTCACGGATGAATATATTACTTTCTGTGCTGAAGGTTTTCAGAACAATGCTTTACCTGGAGGTCTGCAAGGTGTTCGATGGCAGGGGTTGGTTGCTCACTTTTTCATGTTTTTGTTTTATTAACTTTTCTGTATTGTATGTTTTTCCCCGTTTTTCTTCCTTTGTCTTCTTTTGCCTTTTTTCCTTCCTTTGTCGTTTAGTCAAGGGTTTCGCTGACTTTCGAGGCTGGGCCAGGTCTTGCATTGCACCATGTCAGGCGATACTGAAGGCGACCACGGAGCGGACAAAGGCCTTTGGGGCTGTGCTTGGGCCCGGCGCAACATTGCTCACTGACCTATCTGAGTTCAGCAACAATCTGTGATGCAACGTAAACTGACCAAGCCAGACATCTCTATGAAGCCCTTCAGGTTTGGTTCAAATGGAGCCCGCTGCCCCATGGGAGGTTCAGCTTTGCTCGGCCCGGAAGGGTGCACAATTCGGGGGCACTGCGGCTGAAGCTTATTTCAGTGTGGAGCCAGACTTGACAAAGCAAACAGACACTTGCCTTCAGGGCCTTCCCAGTTTGATTCCTCGGTCACGAGCTCATTTGAAGGTGTTTAACCGAAGGGGCTGCATTGCAGTGATTGTCAGCTCTGAAACAAACACGAGTGTTGCAGTCTGTTATTGTCCCGCCTTGTGCTGTGCAGGCCATGGGCTCAAACGCATCAAAGCTCAGAGCGGGTTGCTCGCCAGATTCTAGTCCTCTCGTCGCCTGGGAACCCCTTGGGCACCGTGACCAGCATGGCCGAGCTGCAGAACATCAGCAAGGTGGCGGTCCAGAAGGACCATGCCGGGTACAATTCGATGCTCTCCTCATCACTCGGACAAAACACATGTGGTGAATGAGGAGCCTTCTACAGCTCGTAGCTTACCAATGAGTGGCTGACCGTTGCTGAATTTCTTGGGAGTTGGCACGGCGATGCACCAGCTTTTGACTTCACTCTTTTTTGTTGTACCAGATGTTGGCACCACCTTTTCCTCAAAGTGACCTTTCACCCTTCAGAATCTTTAAAAGCGCGGAGCAGATGTGATGCTTAGTAAGACTTGTTTTTTTCTCATTTGGTTCAACATGAAACAGGGAAGGATGTCAACTTGCTTTTTCCGGAGTATTGCTTCCTGGTAGCAGTAGGTTCCAGGAAGAAACCGACACATGCATGCAGCTCTTCGCGATTGTCTCACAAGGCCCTTACAATGATTGCCTGATATGACATATACAAGTATCCATCCAGCTCATCCTTTCCCGCCAAGCAGCTCTGAAGCACGCCAGTGTCTCCCCTTCAAATTGTGTGCAGCAGAACTCGGATTGGTCTCATTAAGGCGAAATGCGCTGTAAAGCTGGAATTTCATGGATTGATCTGTTTTCAGGACCTTCTAGTGCTCAGTGATGAGACCTACACAAGGCGCAGAAGAATCGGTTGGCTGCTTTCGTTGGTTGGCAGTGTCTTTGTTGTGGGTCAAGCTCAGGCTCTTGAAATGTGCATTTCAGACAAGGAATCA